TGATCCTTCCTCTTTGTTTCCAACCTTTGTATTCAAGTAGTCAGTAATTGTCAACACACCTTGATTGCATGTTTGATCAGTTTCAGACTGAAGAAGTTGGTAGAGTTCTTCAATTTCATCCTCACTGGCTTTAGTGGTTGGTGCATAAATTTGAATAATAGTGGTATTAACTGGTCTTCCTTATGGGCATATGGATATTATCCTATCATAAACAGCGTTGTACCTCAAGACAGATCTTGATATGTTCTTTTTAATGATGAATGCAATGCCATTCTTTTTTAATTTGTCGTTCCTTTCATAGTAAACCATGTGATTATCAGATTCGAAATATCAATGCCAGTTCATTTCAGCTCACTAATGTCCAGTATATCAATGTTTGTGTATTCCATTTCATTTTTGATCATTTCCAATTTTCTTAGATTCATACTTCATATTTTGCATGTTCTGATTATTAATGGATGTTTACGACTGTTTCTTTTCATTTTGAGTTGTGCCCCATCAGCAAACGAAGGTTCTGAAGGCTTTACTCCATTCGTGTCCTTATGGTCAACTCTACTATGAGGAGGCAGTTCTTCCCCAGTCGTATTTTGAGTGCCTTCCCATCTGAGGGGCTCATCTTCTGGCACTATAACATTTTCAAATTGTAGAAGTAGACCACACACATACACATACACACACACACACAAAGGATTAAAGACTAAAAACACAATGAAGAAAATGGGGTGAGCATACAACGCTTCCTTCAAACCAGGACTCTGTTGAGATTGAGAAGGTCCACTATGCTGGGATTAATTTCTCATGGGCTCTAGACTTTCTGAAGCTGTGGAGGGTGAATAAACCTTAAGCAAAAAATACCCCCTGAAGTCATCTTAAAACCAAAAACTAATTTACCTTAACTGGTAAAAAGGTCTGCCTTGAGCATTATGGTCTGTTAAGAATTATCTGTATGGATCAAAACTTGTGATTTTGGCAAGACCTGGGGACTCCTGGGCCCAGAGTCAGTGACATAGCC